AAGTACTGAACAAATTTGATGGGGTCAACCAACCAGTAAGGTTGAGAGTTTGGATGGAAAACGAGCAACTGAACATGTGTGCATGCGGTGGACAGGCGATAAAGGTTACCAACTCATCTTCTTGGAGGACGTGCACCTGTATCCCACTATAACCACCACCACTACCACCTAAATTGTCAATCTGTTGTATTGCGATCCTCTGGTTGGTAGCTTCCCTTTCATGAAAATCGTAGTTATAAATACCACGAAATAGAGCTGTTCGCTTGTACCAAATATTATTCCTGTTCCTTTAATTACGAAAATAAGCAATGAGTGAAGTACAACAACTCACCGACATCATCCGTGGGCTCAGAGGCGAGCAACTGCTTCACAACGACAAGGTCGTCTGAATGATTGGTGACTGCAGATGGTTTCTTTGGTGTCAACTCTGTCGTAACAGAATTGGGCTGTTTGTCCTCCGCGTCTACACCATCAGCAGTAACTTGGTCGTCATCCTTTACTTCTGTTATATGAATTTCCTGTTTATCTGCATCCGACTTTTCGCCATTTTGCTGTTGAAAATTTTTCAATAACCACATAAAACTAATCGTTACGTAATAGATGAATTCGATTAGCATTGACCTAATTTTCTAAGTATATCCACCTCACTTTTGGTATGAAATTTCAGTAATCTAGGACGAGTTATGTGCTCCCAACCAGAATATGCTACGAATAGACAAAATGAAGTGCCAATTGAGATACTGCTTTCACAAATTGCCTATCCAATTTTGGAAGTAAGCTTCACCTACAGTCATATTGGGCTACACTACACGAACGTACTGCAGCAGATTATCGTCAAACTCGCGTGTGCACAGTACGCTAGCAGACGATATNTGACGCTGCTTGCTGTCTCCCACCGGATTTTCAATCACATTATTATGCAATGAACAGCATATGGGATAAGCCCACAACCACAAGGACCTACTACTCACTAATGTGAACTGGCAATCTAACTTCTAGGACTTGGGGTGGCGAACCAAACAAGAAGTCATTAGCAGGGACGAGGTATTGGGCCGGAGGACAGCGAATTTACCAATAACTCAAGATGATTGGCAGTGGTGGGGTTCGAACCTTGGATCATAATGCACAAAATAAGCTAGTCGAAACGTGATTCCCCTTTCGTCTGACTACAGAACACTAAGACTGTGCGACCAACTAAAAAACAGCAGTTTTGCCAATAAAGGACTGCAAAGTTGAAGTATGCTGCCGTTCTCTTTCTGCTCATTTGAAGCATTCGGGGTAACCATAAGCAGACTCGCTTTTCTATCTCTCAAACTTACTATTTGCGTCCCTTTGGTTAAGAAGTAATGTCAATTGCGCCAACACAACGGTGTAAAACGCCCAATCAACAAACACCTTTTGGGAATGCCTGTGTAATGCCCACATTTAACTCAGTTATTTGCGAATACTGGAATGAGACAGGTGACTGCTTCAAGATAAGATGTGAAGGATAGTCACTCCGAATAAATTTGCTTTATCAATACAGTTGGGTGTAAACACCAACAAAGACAAATCGATAGAATAGGGTAAAGTATACAACCAGAGAGAAAGGGGTGTGAAGCAAGACAATTATATCTCAGATGACGACAATTCTCTAAGTGGACGGGTACCAAGACACGTTTAATCCCTATCGATTGAGGATAACGATAATTTGCATTTGTATGAAATACACATACCCAACAAAACAATTTGCCGTACAGAAGCGTCATAGTTATTATGAAAAAAGAACTTGCACTGTGATCCTTAGTAAAAATGACACCTAAACTGAGGACCAGTGTATGAGTCGTATGTAATTTAATTTAAATAATTGAAAGTAACTAAACGAAGGACCTAGGGCACTCACCAATTGCCCAGCACCATTGAACCTTGAGGATTTCAACTTTTGGATTTCAAATGCGGCCAGACGAAGGAACATCTCATGACGATACCTGAAATGTAATGAAGCTAAGGGAGTTTATTTCATGCACACGTCTGAATATAGACTGTGAGAAACAAAGCGCAGTAGAATAATCATTGTTAAAATATAAGGTTTCATT